ACTAAACTAAAACTTGTTCTTTACTCATAAGAAATGGAAAAGTTACCCAGAGAGAGAGCTCACACATGCAGGGGGGGAACATGCACACTGCATGAAAGACCCTGTGCTGGGATTTGTATCCAAGACCATTTCTCGGAAAGGAAATCCTACATTGTTAAATATATAATGATACATAGGACATTTATAATAATAAAAAAATTATTATAACACCTTAAATTATCAAAACTGACATAACCTTTCAAGATCCAAGGTTAAACATTTTCAGTCTACATCTTATGTGTTGAAGTGTTTTGAATGTCTGGATGTGCCCTATGTCTGTCAAACAACATGGGTTTTCTGAATATACAATATGACAAAACCACAGTTAGGTTTCCTTTCTGATGATTAAATCCATCTAAGTATCCAAAACCAGTAGAAACGCTTCTACAAGATGGAACTTTTACAGCAACAGTTGTTTTCAGTAGGCCGGGATGTCTGCTCAACTCTCACCTCAGTTTATTCACATTTTTCCTAATGATGTTGCCCACCCACCTGACCTCAATGTGAAAACAAGAAACCTTAAAGGCTGGACACCATCATGGTAAGCTTAATGCCATGCCATTAGGAACTAATAACCATCATTTCATCCTAACTTTCTTATTATCCGTCCTAAATGAGGCTTGATAAGAAATGTGTTAAGTGACGGAAAACTCCACTTGTTTATAAGGAAGACTGATTTGCTCTCTGTGGCTGTGTGTTGCCTTTGCTACTGGATGGGGTAGCCCCAGTGACTTAGCTCCTCAACACCTGTGTTTACTTTGGGGCCTCGGCCCCTGTGACCCAGCAGCAATCCTTCACTCACTCACAAGATGAAGTGAGGTTTTGGCCTCCAAATATGTGCCACCCCTGCATTTTTTACTACTGTGTGATTCCTCTAACACTCTCACAATGAGGCTAAGGCCAGACATAAAGTATAAATTACAAAATTTGGGGAAATGTCATGATTCAAGCATACGTTTCCTTTCATCAGGCTAAATTATGTGTTTCGGTGTTTTAAATGAAACTTTTAGAACATCATGAATTGGAAATGAACAGATATTTGGACATCAGTGATTTACTGATGTCTTAATATCTCAGTTTTTTTATGTTTGGATCCCAGAGCCTTTAAAAGTTAAAATCAACCTTTTTTTTTAAATACCATTTTAGGACAATCAATTATGCCCATAATTCCATTTTTCTTTTTGGTTTATGTCATGGGTTCATGCTATTTTTGCATTGTCATTTTTTTCCAGTTGACATTTTGAATTTCCAGAGTGTTTATCATTTCCTTTTGATGTTTCTTTCAAATAAAAGTCACCTCAACACGATAGAGGCATATCAGCCCCAATGATCTGGGACTATGTTGTTCACATCTTGGCCTCTAGTGTCTCACATGGCAAACTGGCTTCAAGGAGCTTGTCAACAAACACCAGGTGGAAGAGCCTCGAGGAGGTCTCCTCCACATGGGCCCACCACCTGTGGAGAGGGACATTAGGGTTGGGTGCTGTGTAAACTGGGGGGCAGATGAGGATGGGGCACTGGACCTGCTATTTCTCAGTATTACAGTCTGGCTTTTCAGACATGAAATTCCTCTTCCCTGGCAAGAAAGGGGCAGGAGGGAACAGAATTTGACTCACTTCCACCAGTTTGGGGCTCGGGATTGGGTTTCTTCTAATCTGGATTTACCAACTAAGAGAGGTGTTGGATGTTACTATTGAGCACCTCAGTGTTGTTGTGAGAGTCATATCTGTGTTGGGAGTGAGAGTCATATCTTTGGCTACACAGAAACAGTTGATTGTACAGATGAAAGCACCCACAGCCTGAGGAGCTATAAAGGCTGATTTATACTTCGAAACTAGGTCATCTGCGAGGTGTCGCAGTGAACAAAAAGACGTCCCCGCCCCCTTTCCCCAGACACTCTGCTGCACCTCTCCCAAATTGCAGGTGACTGCAGACAGGAGGCCGGCTTGTTTTGTTTGTATGACTGCCATTGCGGAAATGACTGGTGAAGATCGACCAGCTAGAAGAGCGAGGTGTGCAAAAACGCTGGGACCCTTTTTCCTCTTGGATCCCTGCTCTTTTTCGCTGTCATGTCCCTCCGTTGTCAGACAAACTTGCCCCAACTTCCTCACCGCCTCCGCCGTATCTAGACCCACAGCGTATAGCGCAGGCCACGCTTCAATATTGAGCATAAATCAAAAATGTCTGCGTCAAGCTCACTGCGAGGAGTATATAACCAGCCCTTAACAGGCATTGTAATACCTACAGTATGCCCAGTCTATGTTGACAGTGGTAATGCTGCCACAAAAGTAAAGAATTTTCAATAGTAAAAAAAAAAAAAAAATGCTTAAGTCAGAAAAGTGTAGCTTTCAATAAACGGAATAGTTTTTTAAATGTGGGACAACCAAGATGCGAGGGACAACCCTTTTTTGTAACTCATTTCTATGTTTTTGCTTTACTTTTCACTCCCCTTGTATCAGATTTAAAAGTAACTCTGGCAAACTTCACTTAAAGTTCAGTTATGAAGTGTTTGTCGGTCTTTGTTCCTGTTGTTTTTTCGTTAAACATTTAATTATATTTTTTAAAAATCTTTTACCTGTTCAGTATTTCGAGCAGGTTGGTAATAATGTCTGGCACTGCCCCAGCTCTGTAACAGTAGCTATGTCCCCAATATCCATATCCATAAATAGTACAAATTGTAGATACAAGAATAAATTCCTCATGCTGCTCATTAAAAGGTTACGTTTTGATGTGGTGTTTTTTTTTCCAATCATATCAAAACTCTTATATTTCTCACAGTTTTGTGGGATAGGGGTACAGAAGTGAAAAATGCAGGACTGTCCAGCTCAAATCTTGACATCTGGTCACCCTAGATTTAGGTGAACACTCTACAAACATGGCTGTTTTTAACTGGTTTGAGGTGTCAATGAGAGTGGCTTCAAACTTCCCAATCTAGAAGCAGGTTTTAAATGCCCTTGGTTGTGCTTTGTCTCTATCTCAACAAGAGGCTTGGTGGATATTCTCTAACAAGTGTTGTGTGAATAGAGTGTTTGTCACTTTGATATATTAGGGAATTTTATATGGGAATTCCTATACAAGGTATATGGATACCTTGGTGTTCACCTAGACAACAAATTTGTCTGTTGACACAACTGTGAGGTCACTTCAATAAGGGACAGAGAGACTCTACTTTTTAAGGAAACTTATGTCTGTTGCAGAAGGGTGCTGCATATCTCCGATTAGTTTTTTGAGAGACTGATCACTTTATCTGCTTGGATAACAGCAACAGAGTTAATGACCTAAAGAAAAGCTCAACAACCTAATAAAGAGGGCTGTCTCCAATCTAGAAACTCTTCTCAAACCTCAGTAGGTGATTTCACACATAATTCTATCCTCTTCAGGAGACTATTAAACAACAACAAAATTGCCCATGAAATACTAAAACATTTCATTTCCTGTTTAGATTAATAAAGTGTTTTTTTTAATTTGGCTAGCAAGAGGGAAGGCTTTGACTGTTGTCAGTCATAACGCTTTATCATCTAGCTGAAGCCCTGATTACTGTATGGCTGCTGCCCTTCTTCAATAAAAGGAGTAACTAAGTAGTTTAGGCACATCTCATTACAAAGTTTCCCTTATGCCTCATTTCAGCTTTTTTTTTTTATTGTATTTTTTGCATGAAACTCTGTCCAGCAGTTCATGGGTCATAAACCTTGCATTGATCTTTTTAGTGAAATACCACCTTAAAGCTATCATGGAGCCAAATGCTTGAGAAAAATGTCTTCATCATATTAACATAACTGTACAGTTTGCAAACACTTCCTGATCCTTTTTTCTTTCTTATATTTCGGACTTGTGCACTTATGCTTTAACATAGTAAATGACCTTTGTTTTTACCTTTTTTCTTCACTCTTGACCAGTGCTGAGAAATCATCAGGAACCTGTTTACAGCCATGAACATGTCTGCTTGCTGTGAATCTGATGAATGTTGTGTACTGTCCACCATGGCAGCATGCCAGAGTTCTGTTGCTCGTACTGCAGTGTGAACTGTTCAAATAAGTGCCAGTGTTTTTTCAGGTGTGAATGCTTTAGTGTCCGCCAAAATCCCTGTTTCTATGGAGACAGTTTGAACTAGGTGTAGAAAACGGTCACATAGTCAAGTGGTCTGTGGTGTTAGATTTATAATACTGTTGATAAGAAAATTATAATAAAACTTTAACTGGAAAATTGTATTTTGTGTTGAGAGTTTAACCGCTTCCTATTAAGATGCATGTAGTTAACAAAGTTAGACAGGAAAATCATTTTCACTTAAAACATTTAGAGGGACAATATTTTTGTGACATTTAGTTGATTAATGAGGTTTGAACAGAGGTAGAGCAGAGAACTTTGAGGGTTTTAAAATGTGAAAAAATCCCATAAATATAGAACCTGTATATCTTCATGTAACATTTTCTACGTTTATAGAAACATTTCAAGCCGTTCAAGTGTTGTCTTTTCCAGGACACTTGCAAGTGCAGGAAAAGAGCTCAATGATAACTTCCTGAAGGCCCTGGCAGAGCGAGAAGAGGCCAACCGCAGTGGGAAAATGACTGTGAGTACATTATTACAGCACTCCAATTGCTACGTAATGGGATTCCCCTCAAATATTTCTGCAATTCCATTAGGATGGAAACAAAATCCATACTGTGTCAAGCTGAATGGAAAGGACCCTTCCTCCCCGTTCCAGTCCCTCCCCAAAACCACCAGAGCTAGCTGCCGGCCCCTTTCCGTACCATAAAACCCCGTCACTAAAACTACCTTGTTCTCCGATTAAACCAGCAGGGTAGATAAAAAAAAAACATAAAATTGCACGAACCCTAATAAATAAATAAATAATTATTTATAAAATGAAGGTACTTTCTAGAAATATCGAGAAAAATACTAAAACAGTTTTGTGAAAAAAAGATACAAATACATATCTAAGTTTATTAATATAAAATATATCTCTTGCTCTTTAAAAAAGTGCTAAAATAAAAAAATTGTAATTGTTCTTCAAAAATAAAAATGGGGTGCTTTTCTTTAATCATGGCATTTAAAAAAAAATGCAATTCTTAAAAAGTGAGCTTTTATTTCATAATCGTGTTTTTACCCTATTGCCTTTTTATTCTAGAATCCTATTTTTAATGATTTAATAGGGCAAACAAGGGAAACAGGGTGGGGCCAGATACAAAACAGGCTTATATTGGAAGACTACTTGACTTTCGCTCTTGAAGACGTTTCGACACCTATCTTGGAGTCTTTGTCATTTCTTTATGCTGGCACCACAGCGGTGGGGCCATTATTTCATTGGCTGCTACTTTACCCAGACAGTAGCAATCCCACATGAAATGATCTATTGCTACTTGGAGCTTTATTAAGTTCAAAGAGCCCAAAGCAGAAATAGCAGAGGAAGTTTCCCCCCCCCGAGGGCTGCTTGACAGTGCAATTCATCCTCTTGTACACTAGCCTCTAATATAGAGCTAAACCTAAACTGCAGATCAGATGAACCTGAAAACACAGGCCTACTGCACAACAAAATGCACAGTGCCAATGCAGACTGACAGTATCTCAGGTCCTTCATTTAAAATGGGAAATTCCAAGCAATTGCGCTAGAAAGATCTGGCAAAAGGCCTCCTGTCTGTTTCCTGCAGTCCTCTTACAAAGTGTGCCTTTCTTTTCTCTTTTGTTTTTGTTTTTAAAAAGTAAAAAAACAACTGCATGATCACTTTATGAAATAAGTAATGGCTTGAGATGTTACCCTTTTCCAGAGTGGAAGCAAAGCCAAGGAGCTTTAATCTAAGTTAACAAAGAGACAATAAATAGCCTTTATAGCAGCTATTCAACAACCAAACCTGACTTTCAAAGCTATAACCTAATGCATGTGTGTTTTCCTGGCATTTTTCAAGTTTGAATTAAAGACTATTATGCTGTTTTACAAAAAGCTTTTGACAGACTGGTGCTAGCTTAGCCAGTTCAAGGTAGCAAACACTGCAGAAGCAAGAAAGACCCTGTATTTCCTGGTCCATAAATAAATTAACTGACAAGCCTTTGAATGTTTCTTACATACAAAGTGTGTAAAATTTGTCACCAGAGCAGAGAAGGAGCACTGAGGGTGTTTTGTTTACATACATATGAAATGACA